AACGCCTTCCCGAGATAAAAACCAGAACCCAGTGCTGGCGAGGCCACTCTAACTCACGGCAAACCCACGCGTGTCAGAGCAGAACGAGCTGTTCCATAGGGCTGTGAATGGCTGCAGGCCTCTGGATGCAGCTCACCAGGCCTTTCTTCCGCACCACCACTGGGCAGTCCCAACAGCCAACCCTTCAGTTAGCAGCCCAGCCTAGTGAAAACTGTGGGCCACACCCCTGAGAACAGGTGCCCGCTGGCTGCAGAAACACATCACGGCAGGCATGGTCTCGGAAGATTCTTCCACAGGCATGAATTAACTCATCTGAGGTAAGCATTCAAATGTTGAACTTAAAGCACATGACTATTTCCTAAGCTTTCTGAGAGCTTTTCAACAGCACAGAGAGGGCAGAGTAGGGGCTGTGGGTCAGAGAGATCCACGTTTGGACCCCAGGCCCTCCACTTCCGTACTGTGCCCCCGTCTCTCGGTTTAATTTCATAAGGATGACACAAACTGTTTCAACTATGGCAATTAGAGGATCAAATGCGGCGCTACAGGGAAAATGAAAACAACCAACCCACTGGCCCTAGAACCGACTCTGGCTCACATGTGTGATGTATGTTGTGCGTCTCATGTGTGTCCCAGTGACACTGGGCTGCACAGGGCTGTCAATGGCTGATATTTTCAAACTGTCAGGCCTTTTTTCCAAGGTCCTTCTGGATGGACTTGAACCGCCAATCCTGTATTAGTAGCCCAATGTTTACCCCTCATGCCCCCCAGGGACTCCTACTATACTTCGCAACCTATAAGCAGACGTTTAACTGTTTCTTTCCCCAACAAATACATATGGGAGTGTCTAGAAAGCCAGGCCCGCCCCTCTAATCCTCTCATCTCCACAGAAACCATCACCTGGGAGCACTCCTTCCTGAGACTCAGGGTTGGTCCAGTTCCACCACGAACACAGGCAGGCAGGATAAAGCCCCCTCCAGGCACAGCCCCCGCGGGGCAACAGGGGCCTGATGAGCACTAACGAGCACTCAGCTCAGCAACCCCCACATCTCAGGGCCTCAGGACAGGAGAGCACCCAGCCCAGAGAGGACTCTGAGGCCCGAGACGTCCGTCCGAGTAGGACTGAGACAGGAGAAGCACGGGCTTCAGGAACAACGTGTCCCAGCTTGAAGAGGGGAGGTGACTCGGGTGGGAGGGGCGTGAACTAGATGAGGGGGAGCGCGACTGGGGGTGGTGAGATGGGCGTGGGGCCTGACTCAAGGCGACAGACAGCAAGGCATGGGGGAGAGCAGGTGCCGCCCCCACCATGACTCAGTGCGGGAGAAGGAAGGACAGCGAGAGACTGCAGCTCAAGAGCGACACTGGGGACGTGCCTGGGGCGTAAGGACACTAATGTGCCTGGGGACGTGCCCGGGGGGGGGGCTGTGATGTGCAGGGATGGGAGCATGAGTCAGCTGCAAGGGACAGGACTTGAGCGTGGAGGCGTGCCTGAGGTGCTGGCGGTGTGCCTCAGGTGCAAGGGCGTGGCTAGGGAGCAGGACTGGGGTGCAGGACTGTGGCTGGGGGCTCCGGCCAGGAAGCATGAGCTGGGTGTGGGACGGACTACGGAGAGGGCTACCTGACATGGAGGGCTACTCTGGAATGTGGGGGCCCTACAGGGGCATAACGCAGGGCCATGGGGGCAAGCACTGGGCTCTACAAGGCCAGCTTCCTCCAGGGAATCAGGCAGGACTTAGATTTCAATGGAGGTAATTCTGAGTCTCAGAGGCTCCGGGGGACAGCTCACCCTCACGTTACGCCGGACGGTCAGCTCCAGCCTCCCGCAGGTGGGAACCAACCAGGGAGGCAAGTACCATCCTCATCAGCCCACCACAGACGGAGTTGTGGTGAGGCTCCTGTTTGGCCCAGCCCGGCCCTGAGAGGCCCCACCCTGCGATGGGCCTGACACAGGAACATTAGCAGTATTCTAGGAACACTGCCCCTTTAAATATTTATAAACATGAGGTGGTTGTGCTTTGTGACATGGGGTTGCCTTTCCAGGAACTACATTTCCCAGAACCCATTTCTGAAGGAAGAAACGATGTCCCTGATTCTTCAGTTGCAGTGCAAACTGCATCCACGGTACGAACAAGATGCATTAGAACTGCCTCACTTAGGCACAGACTGACATACAGAAAGAACAAGCAGCCGTATGCATGGACAGACATCCCTGGATGATGGGCCACTGTCGCTCCTAAGCCTGTCTTCAAGTTGAATTTGGACATTAAGTTGGAACAGTTGGTTATGGTTTATATCTAACATCAGTTACTCACATGTTTGCCTTACTCTGTAGCATCCAGTGTAGACTGTGATGCATAACAACGTGGAAGAAACAGACACACGAACACATCTTTAACGTGGTAACACGGTCACATAACCTCCTGACATGCCCAACTGTTCTTACGAACCGTCATACATACCCAGGATTTTTAACATGATGGTCTTTACTGGGGTTGGATCCTAACTACCTAACTACATGTAAATCGGATGTAACCCAGGCACTGTCTCTACCTTCAAAGCAAAGAAACTGGTTCAGAGTGAGGCCACGGGCCAGCAGCCAAGCCCGCATGCAGGTTTTGTTTCTTAGACACAGGGAGCACGTGTGTCTCCAACGCGGCCTCTGACATACGTCTTGTATACGGCAACTGCCTGTTGGAGAAGGCTGGCCTCGTTCACTCCTGTCAGGCTCCTCTTCTCAGCCTGGGAAAGGGACCTGAGAGCTCCAGGTGGTCTCAGGAACACTGCTGGCAGACGTTTGATTTTTCCCATTGTTTCTGGGCACACTTGTCCACACCCCATGGCCAGGATGCTGGGTCCCTCTCTAGTCCATGCCTCCCCGGCCCTCCTAGGTGCCTCTCTCTGCCACATTCCTAGCTGTTTCAAATGGGTGAAACCTGCATGCTTTGCATAGAGACTCTGCATAAGGCACCCGCACAAGAGGAAAGCCGAGCTGATCGTCTCCCAGGGACACCGCTCACAGCCGAGCTCCAGGAGGCCAACCTAGGATCCTGCCAGCAGATCTCTTCCCGCAAGCCCAGCGCCCCTGAAATCAACTGGTCATCTTGTACAAGCTCAGAGCTGGCACTCCCAGAAGCCATGATGGGGGGCCAAACTCTTTATCTTCCCTGGAAACATGGACAGCAAAATGCGGCAAGGGCTGCCCAGTGTTCCCGGAGGCCTGAACTGTGCTCGGGAGCTTGTCTCTGGGCTCATGGAAACCTATCCGAGGCGAGCAGCAGAGGCCAAAACAAATGCTTGAATTCAAGTCCTGTTGTGTAATGAGGAAGTTTAATTAAGGCCCCACATTACAGCTGTAAATGTTCCTTTATATAATAAGCTCTAAATGAAACTGAACCTAATCAAAGTTACAATTCCTTCATTAGCAAATTACAAACAAGGAGCACAGCTGACACACCGGCCATGATTATCACAACTAATTGCCTCGTTGTTACAGACCGGCCTGCAACAGTGTTCAGATGTCCGTCTGCGAGAGCAAATTAGGGCCACATCGGGCTGTGCCTGTGATCACAAGGGGCCCTTGTGTGGCGCGTTGATTTACCCCTGTTGCCTGGTGGCCAGCGGCCCAATCAAAGCCGTGCTACAAAGGCAGCCTTTGAAGCCAGCTCAGCTCGGGACGCGCTCCATATGCAGGCGGGCACATGGCACTTCATTAGGCCTGTTGTCACATTTCCCCCTTCTTATTCTAATGATCCTATTTTAATACACACAGGAACCTCTCCTAATTGATGTCAAGTGAACGACTTCCACATTCATCAACGGAGCACATCAAACACCACTCGGTGCAGGAGCCAGCCAGCATCCTCGCTGGAAGACCCGAGTGTGGCTCTAACTCCAGGCAGGGGAAGGAGGGGAGGGTGGGGGGCTGCATACCTGTTTAATTGGGATCGCACGACCGCTCCCAATGCTGTCTGCCCGGGTCTCCAGGCCTTTCTTCTCTTTGTCTGGGTCGCTCCCCTTCCGAGACTGCAGGGCAAAAGCAAAGTTAGCATTTGGCTCACAGACAGGGGCTCATCCTTATTTGCATGGGGTCTGCAAAGGGGTATTCAGAATCTACGTGCGTGCGCACACACAGCCACGAAGCCACCAAGGGGCTCAGCGGCACCTCATTCTGAGAAGAATGTTCCCAACTTCTCCTCCGACTTTCCTGCTACAGAATTACCTTTCAATGCTTTTTAAAGAACTCAAAATTCAATTACTACAAACCAACGGACCACATAGGAAAGGAACGCCCAACAGAAAAACACTTTTGAAAGCTGCGACGGCCGCAACCAAGGAGAAAAGGGCCTCTTGCCACCAATCTGGAGACCTGACTACATAAACGTGTATATTTAATTAATGTCAGAATGGTTTTAAAAATTCCGTTAGCGACTCACCGTGCTGTCTCACAGTGCGCCTCTGAGTGGCGTCAGGTGCACCAAACGTTTCTTCTCAGTGCTTCCTGAAGGAGAGGAAATGGCAGATGCCAGGCAAAGGCGTGTGCGGTATGAACAGTTGGAACAAATTCCAGGCAAAGGCGTGTGCGGTACGAACAGTTGGAACAAATTCCAGGCAAAGGCGTGTGCGGTACGAACAGTTGGAACAAAGTGGGAAACATCCTGTCGGCAGAGCATCAGTCCCCAGGAAGAACAAGCAGCTGGGGGGCCGAGTTCCAGGTGGGGTTTCCCTGGCAGCCTCCACAAGGTCTTGGGATGCCCAGTGTTGAGCCGTCGGAGGGGAGGGTGCCAGTGTCTGCTCCAGGGACACCAGCCCCTACAGCACCCCTTGGCAAGAGGGACACGGAAGGGGCTCCAAGCCCAAGTGTCCCTCTTGGACGGCAGGAGACGGAGTGAGCACCGTGATTTTCTGACAGATTTATTTTATTATGAGAGAAAGATCGGAGACTCGTCCTCCTTAATAACTGCACTGACAAGTGACAACTTCACTCCATTACTTTTCAATGGGAACATTACTCACGCAATATTGATAATGGAGAAACATTTCCAGTGCTGTTCAAATCGGAGATGATATATGAAATGACTGTACTTCGTGGTGTCCAGTGCCACCACAAAAAGCAAATGAAATCCACTTTCAAAGCCAGGGAGATGGAGCAATTGATTTCAATTTTTTTTTTTCCTTTCAAATATTTAAAGGGGCAATGTCCCAGGGCATCAAAAAAACAAGGGCTGGTAGAACGGGATATCAAGTTCCAGGTAGGGTCACAGCTGCGACAGGAAGATGGGCAAGGAGCACAGCCCCCAGGACGGAGCCTTGGTCTAGCTCTGTGGAAGGCCAGCTGTCTCCGGAGCACCCACGCTCGCGAGAAGACCTGCTTCTGCATGATTATAAGAGCTGGCATTTAGTGAGTACCTCCTGTGTGCCAGCCGCCATGCCCTGCTTACTCTGGGCTGGTGGAGAGTGCAATGATGACAGCAAGTTAAACAAGTGAAGCACAGAAAGTTCTAGAACACAAAACACAAGGGCCTCCCTCTGGGCCAGAAGGCAGACCAGACGCATCTTGCCCTCGCCACGCACTTGGGCTCACCCTTCCAACGTAGCGTAAGAGCAACTCACAGAGTTCTGTCCCCCACATCGCAGCTCCCGGGGACCCAGCATTAAAGTTTCTATCTCTGAACTCAAGGTTGACAGCGATTGCCTTTCTTTTTTGTAAATTTAAAACAAGGAACCTCAAAGTACCTTCAGAATGATATGAACTCTCAATTTCTAAACTTGGGAATCCATCTTCATTATTCTCTGTTAACCAGAATAATTAACAAAACAAACATTAGGAAAGAACACCACCACCACGAAAATGAACATCTTCCTCGAGGCAACACATCTGTCCACCAGCCTCTCTACTCTCAGAGTAGAATTCCCAGATTCCACAGAAAACAGGAAGAGCGGCCAAGTGGACCCCACAGACACCTACAGATGGGAGCTACAAAGGACTGAACTCAATATGGGACCAAGCTCTGGGCTGTTACTGAGCCTGGAAGTTACCTGAGGCACCAATGCAGAAATGAGACAGAGACTCCCTGACAACGCTAATGTTTTTGGGGGAGAGAGCCATCAAGCTAGAATTTTAAGGAAAGAGCAGTAGCAGCTGTTGGGGGAGGGTAGGAAACAGGGTACTCTGCGATGCCCACAACCACAATTACTTTGTGTCTAACAGGCTAGATCCACAGGATTGAAATCCAACAACGAAACGAAAAATCCATGGGATGTAGAACACGGCTGCCCCCATCAATTCCCAGGAAGGTCTCCTTATCTTTCTGTCCACTCGGGAGAATGCCTCACGGCCACTGTCCAGACACTCCTGCTGAGCCACCACCGTGACACCATTAGGAACAGCGTGGCCATCAGCACCGCCAACGAGTATCAACAGCGACTGTGTTCTGCCTCAGCCTGACAGCCACTGCTGGACAGGTAACAAGAGTGGATCACACCCAAAGGTCGGTGGATTTCACATGATCGCAAAGCAAGCCAGAACAAGGACCGCCGAGACTCCAAAAGGCAGGACACAGAGGAAAGGTACCTCGCAGTCGCCTCAGTCTTTACAAACACTCCCTTTCCCCAACGTGGTTAAAGAGTTCTTAAAGGGGCAGTGCCATCAACACCTGGTTATAGGTGAGCTACCCTGCCAAGAGCCCAGTGTGCCCCACAGAAGCCTGCTTCCCCACCGTCTCCCCACTGAGGACAGCCCAGGCTGCTGGGACCCAAGAGAAGGAAGGACTTCCCTCCATCTCAATAAACAGCCACACACCTTCCCAACAGTGCTGCTCAAGTGCATTTTCCTGCCTTGCTTTTGGTGAGTAAGAATTTTTCCCATAATCTTTGGTTACTGCTGATAGCAGGCTCTGCTTAATGGTCTCAGCCTTGTGTGGCAGGCCTTCACAAACATAACAAAGACTGAAAACAGGCAAGGCAATGCACAATTTATGGACTCGTAAGAGTTTTAAAATGTGGACAGAGCCAATAAACACTAAATTCAAGCTCACAAACGGTGCCTGGTCAGAGAGGCAGGAACAGCACTCGGGAGACAGACACTGAGGCTTTGACTTTTACTGATGATGTGTTAATTTCTAAAGAAGGCGGGAGGAGGAGGAGGAAGAGGAAGACATAACTGCAGCAGAGGATCAAATGCTTACGGGGATACGTGGGAGCGTGAGGATGCAGGCTCTGCTGTTCCTCTATGCTTGAAAACGTTTCTCATAGGACGTCCTAACCCATGCCAACTAGCCGGCTCAACTACGGTAACTGATCTAAGAATCCTTATCACCGAATCAGAGATGAAATGGACATAGCATCCTGGTGTTTTTAGTTTTTCTCAGAACAAAGACTTTCTCAATAAATACAGCACTAAGATGCAACACAGCTTCCGCCTGGGAAAGCGTAATTCCCACGCAGAGGTAACACACAAGTCGCTACCAACAGAGCAATGTGAAGCCTGGACGATTTAGATATAAAGCGTGCGGTTTACTGTTGTTTGAAAACGTGAGGGGAGGCAAACACAAGCCCTCCGAGTCCACAATGCTGACCCTGGGCTGTGAGATACGCGTGTGGGCCACCCCACCCAGCCTCTTCACGACAGTCCCTGGGCTGTGAGATACGCGCCTGGGCCACCCCGCCCAGCCTCTTCACGACAGTCCCTGGGCTGTGAGATACGCGCCTGGGCCACCCCGCCCAGCCTCTTCACGACAGTCCCTGGGCTGTGAGATACACGCCTGGGCCACCCCGCCCAGCCTCTTCAGGATGGTCACGCTCTGCTGCAGGGCTCTGAGTCACGGTCAGCTCCATGGCAGTGTGCTTGGTTTTTGGTTCTGTCCATAAAGTGGACAGTGCCCCTGAACTTGGTATTCCAACCCGTCAGCGAGGGCTTTTATTCACCGAGATTGTGTGTACCTCTATACTCTCAGGAAAAACTTTCAAATGAACAGACTTTTTATCAATTTAAGCCAATAACCACGAACAGTCCCTGGGGCAGTGGGTCCATGAGATTTTGCAGGATCCAGGACCAGGAACTGGCAACAGTGAGCATTTCATTTCTACTGGCTCCATTTCCAAAGTCATCTGCCTTCTTCCCGTTCCTGGGAGGACACTGACATCTAGTGGACTGACTTTCCAGGAGCTTCAACTGAAAAAGGCCCGCACGTCATCAGTGCGATCAACGTCAAGCCCGGAAAATGGCCACCGGTCTGGCCCGGCCCTGCCTGTGATTTTTGCCATCTGTGCCTTAAGCACTAACCACGAGGTAAACCGTCATGAGCCGCTGCTCTGTGACCCCAACTTTCTGTTCCCAGTGCTAACTGGGTCATGCAGCAGCGATTCTGAAAGGATTAACTTTCTAAAATGGTTTGCTCTCCAACTGTTTTCAACACTTAAATAGACACAGATAATACACAGATTCACAGGAGTCCATGGCATTGTCAAGCACGTGAATTATGATGTCAAATATACAAAGATCTTCAGACAGAGTAATGATGAGGTTTTACTGGCTCCTGATACAAGCACTACCAGCTCCAGACAGGGTGTCTTCCTGGCCTCTGTGTACACGTGAGCACGCGTGTGCATGAGGAGTGGCAGCTTACAGCTGGGAGGGGACCTTTATCCATCTGTCCCTTTCCCTTGTCTTGTCGGCGGAGTCCCTTCTCCCTTCTTTTCAGTGTGGATCCACCTTGGCCATCAGCAGCCCTGAAGGACAGAGAAAATCCAGGGCTTTGCAGATACAGATGTGTTATCTCAATTACTGGTATTTTGGTTCTTCCAGCTTAAAGTGTTCTCCTGTAAAAGCCATCTCGTAACTGTCAGTCACCCAGTGCACTCTTTTTTGGCGTATTCCAACCCCAGAGCTTCCCTTACAAACAGCAGGGACAGGAATGAACGGGAGGACTCGGTCGTAAACAAACTTGCTGGCTGTTCATTTCTTTCCCTGAACAGGAACCGAAGCCAATGACCAGTAAGTGCTCCTTGGATGGTATTATGAGCCTGGGCTAGCACCCTCCTGTCCACCCACTCCCAGGCAGGAGACAGAGGATCCACAGAGATGCTGTCCACGTTGGCCCAGCTGATCAACCCTCCCTCTACCTGCTGGGCTGGCATCCTGCTTGCTCGCCCCGATCCTGAACCCAGCTGCATCTTCGGCAGTCAGTCTCTCAAGTCCACTGACTCATGAGCTAGAAGCTATCCAAGCAGAAGACCCCCACCTGGGGCTGTAAAGGGCCACTGGGCATTTCACAGAGCCTGGGAGTGGCCTTTCAGCTAACTGCTGCTCTTGTCAGTGTGGCTGAACACTCTTCACACATGCCCCACCCATTTTGTCCAAGTACAAATTAAGCACCTTGGATGATCACCCGTATTCTGCAGAAACTTAAAGGCCCACCCTACCCACAACGTCTCCAGCAGTCCTATAACTGTTTTTGCTGACCATGATCAGAAGTCATTTGCAAACCTATCAATAGAATAAAGAACATACTGAAGCAATTCCACAAAGACTCTCCACCCCCTTCTTGTGATCTTCATAACACCCCCACTGCAGAAAGACCACTATTTCCAGCTCAGAAAGGTTCCCTACCTGGCCTGCCCAGCACAATGTGCGGGTTGAGGTCTAGGGCTAGGGTCTACACATCCTTCTGCCTGATACTCCACTCTCCCCAATGTCACTTGGCCCTAGATTAGAGCAGTAGCATCTTTCAGAACTAACGTGGCCCTCGGCAATCCCCAAAAGAAAGAAGGTCTCAAGGAGGAGGCATGGACTGTCAGGAACAGGCCTTGGCAGTAACGACCATCCAATGAAAAACTGCCACAAAGACGGTGGAAGAGAAATGGGGACTTTCTGGACTCGGCAGCCACATAGGACATTAAGAACATCATCTCCAATGAAGGACAGCTGTCAGGTAATCAACCCTCAGCCCTTTAGGTCTTCTTTAGCTCAATGCAGAAAAGAGTCAACCTCTTTGGCTCTAAGTCAGCAGGACCCGAAACAAGATCAAGCAGTATCAAATAGGCAGCAATGCTTCAGCCGGACCATCACTTTCCTGTGAGGACTGTCCTATTCACTGTAGACTATGTAGCAGCCTCCCTGGCCTCTCTCCACTAGACACCACTAGCACCCACTTCCTCCCGAGCTGAGCTCTGGTGGGAAGCAGACACTGTAATGGCACACACTAATGCCATTTAGAAGATCCAGAGCAACAGAGAATCAGGAGGTCCCAGGAGCCAAGTGCAGTCTTCAAGTTAAATGGCTCCAGTATGGTAGTGCTGCCTATAGTTCTGTGCTCAGAGCTCCGGGTTCAACTGCAAAGAGCTCCATGATAGATTGGTGATGTCTGCTGTATATGAGAGAAGGGTAGAGTTGTAGCACTCTGACCTCATCTGTAGTTGAGACGTCATCCTTATCCCACTCACTCAGGGGCTTTTAAAAATATACCCCTGCCTGGGCACCCCAGCCTCAATTCTGAGTTCAGAGGTCTGAGCCCACATGACTGGTTTGCAGCTTTTAAATGTGCCATACATGATTCTGAAGACAACCTGAAGGGGTGAGCCTCTGTCAACGAATGAGCTGCTATAAAATGCTACAGTTGGTGGCGCCCACACACCTGCTGTTCACTTCTGAGCCACACGGGCTGTCATCCCGTGCCCTGCCCCCTGTCAACTAACCCTGAGACACCTCCACAGGAGCAGAGGCCATGTGGATGTATGGCCTATACATGTGGGAGAGTGGGACACACATTTGGGAACTTTGGCCTAGTTTTATCATCTCCTTCGATTCTATTCCTTGTATTAAGGATGACAAGTCTCTAGTTAGAGGTCACAAAGGTCGCAGGACAGTAAACATCTTGACAAGGACCTACTGCTCCTCACTGGTACGTGGAGCAGTGCGCCCCCCACACTGAGAAATCCCACTCTGCTATCCATCCAACTTCCCATCTTATCATTCTCTTAGGTGTCCACACAAACCAGTGCTATCTTCTGTCTTTTAGTTTGGATTCGACAAAGAGCACCGGGCCGCCCGGCAAGCAGACGGAGACTGACTGCAACGCCCTGACAGCACCTGGGTCTCGCTCCAGGGGACACTCACGGTGAAAAGGTTGGACCGGCGCTTGGACTGCTTACGGACGGGCGTTGGAGTGTTGGCAGTGGGAGGGGCGTCGATCCGAAGTTCTTTCTGGCTGGTGCTTGGAGTCGACGGGACGGAGGATGAATAGTCACTCAGGCTGCCACCTCCATTACTGGTCTGCAATGACCAAGAAGCACAGTCTGATCAATGACATGCTCTGGAACCTAAGGCCATCACTGCTGCCACCACCGACCAGTCAGCAGGACACACTGCAGAGACGGCGGGACAGCTTCTCTGTCTCTGTGAGTTATGTTAGCACCAAATATGCAGTCTCATTCTAGAACATAGCAACCATCTCCTAGAGTCGTTCTGTCGAAGATAAGTGACATTTAAAGAATCTGGAGTCAGCAATAGTTGAACAAGGGACAAAGGGTCTGCCTTGAGCTCTTCTAAGACCCATCTGCATGGGAGCAAAGGGAGAACAGCAGCTCCAAGGATTAGCTGAGAACCTCAGGAACAGCAGCTTTGTGTTCATGGGGAGGAACAACTCAGGAAAGGAGGTGAGATGGTTCCACACTCGAAGCATGTAACCAGCGGCACTGACTTGCCCACGGAGAGACTCATAAACCGCAGTATGCTCTCTCTTGTGTATTTTGAACAACAATAAAGACATTGTATTTACAAGTCTCTATCATTTAAACTTTTAATTTAATTTTTATCTTAAAATGATGTCTACCATTTAATTAGAAAGAAAAAACTGAGAACTAAGATGTATTTATTTTCTTTCTCCTGTGAAAAACGGAGGGGGCTGGTTAAACCCCTGGGCCCTATGGTTCCATTACTGCTCTCCATCTGACACAGGAGGACTGGATCTCCCAGAACCATGATGGAACATTCTGGAAACAACATCCTGAAGACCTGACCGCCTCGGGAAACCACTTCAGGATGCAGACACGACCAATAACTGCCACAGCAAAGACACTCACGCACAACGCTAACTTTATGGGCCTCACAGTCAGTGCAGCAAACCAAGGGCCATGTCCCACCTGCTCATGGCATCCTTCCTAAAAATATAAAGGGGGTAGGGTGTGGGGGTGGCAATATAACACCTGTCTGAACAATGGGAATCAAAACACCAGTGTGCAAGCCTACAGGATTTTCTTTGAGTTCTTCAAAGTGGCACCTGTTCCTTTTCCTCCCAAGTAAATAATTTAGCAAAATGCCATTAGAGAGTCATTTCCACAGGAAATGGGAAATGCTAGTTATAAATGTAGGCTACTCCTACCTCTCAGCATAAAGTGAGGTTCGCCAACGAAATTTCCCCATAACTAAGTATGCAACCTGTCAGCAGACTGGATCCAGACCCCAAGCAGGTAATTTAATGAACAGTGAAGACAAGGGTGCATCCCAGGCATCACCAGGCCAGCAGGGCCCACCCCCTGCACAGCAAGAAGAAGGGAAACTTGAAAGGATGCCACCCATAAAGAACCTTTCACCACAGCAGCTTCTCCAGGAAATGTAAGTGAACTACAAACATACTGCTATTCATGAAACGGACAAGGAAAAACAAAATCAATCTGAGAGCTGGCTGTGGACACTATTGAGATGGACCACCTTCTCCCAGGTTCTACCACACCTCATTCCCAGGGGGCCAATGACGCCCAGCGTACCTGGCTGATGTGCACGGCGGACACCTGAGCAGAGCAGACGGAGGAGTGGCTCGGGGAGCTGGGCAAGGACTTGCAGGGGCCAATGGACAGCTGCTGCTTCTTCCTCGTGGCCACAACCTTCTGGGCAACTAGTGGACACAAGGACAACAAACCAGGGTGACGCCAAGGACCAGGACGTGGCAGGGCCTGTTGGCTGGCCCTCAAACTGGCTCTTCCCCTTTAACAGAGAAAGAGAAAAACCAAAACCAAACCCTGTCACCAAGTGCATTCCAAGTCATGGCGCCCCCGTGTGTTACAGAGTAGAACCATGCTCCATGGCATGTTCTTGGCTGTCACCTTTATGGACGAAGATCACAGGGCTTTCTTCCATGGAGCAGCCCGGTGGGTCTGGGCCGCCACGCCTTTCGGTTAGCAGTAGAGCGTGTACCATTTGTGCCAGCTGGGACCTTCCCTTTTTCCCACAGGAACAGGATCCTGGATGCTGGCTGGGCCTAGGATTTCCCAGGGCCTGCCCCCCTGCCACATGACACTAAGTGTGGCCAAGGCTATGCAAGCAAGGTCTGGCCAACAGCGCATACACAGAAGGGTTTAGGTGGCAGCTTCCAGAACTCCCTTTGGGAGAGACACTCTTTGATCATTTCTTCCTTTTGTCTTTTCTGTTCTTGCTGCCTGGCATGCCCCTATGCAACCACCTTGGACCCAGCAGCCATCTGGGACCCCAGGGTGACCTTGAGAATACAAGCCACTGTGGGAGGTACAAGATAGAAGGGGCAGTGCCCCATCTCCATGGAAGGCCTCAGTGACCTTGCATGGGCCACCCAGAAGCCTGCAGTGCAAAACAGAAACACACATGCATCTACCTTCATCAAGTTATTCTAATCAGATGGGTTTTTCCCCAGTTACTTACAGCAAAAATAATCCTACATAACACAAGGCAATTTAACCAAAATCCTCTTAGAAAGTCAAAAAGGTTCCCCCTTTTTTTTTTTTTTTTTGCAAAGCCTAAAGAATGACCCTTCACTTTATAAGCTAGTGCATGGAATTAGATTCAAGGCCATGGAATGATACCCAAGACCTTTTGTTTTTTTAACATTTACATTTATCACTCCATGCACTACAAGTTTATCTCAATCAATACAAACCCCAATTCAGGTAGCCACATCTTCCTTGGCAAGGAGGTGCATGGGCAGAGCATATTTGAGTGTAACTGAAAAGGAAGTCAATAATCAGAAAACTCTCCCTAGACCAAGAGGTGCCCCTGCAGGAGAGCAAGCCCAGTGAGTACCGGGTGACATGTGCACCTCTGGCTGCAATCAGCTTGGGAACACTCAGCCTTCGTCTCTGCCCCGAGTGTGACTGGTTTTGCCATGCACCGGCTACACTGTCTCCCCTAGGCGCTGATACAGCGGGGCCCAGAGAGCTTGCAGACCATTCTTTTCCAAACGTGTACAACTTTAATAAGGAGTCAGCTTATCCGAAGCTTATGGTTCTCATGTGAATGAATGATAGCATAAATATGATTAAGTGAAAACGTAACATATAAAAAATGGCTCACGTGGGGGCAGCAGCAGCTTCATTACTTATGACCCACCTCCAATCGGCCCGTTATCATCCTGAAAGGATGGTACCAATTAATTTATCTTACCGTTGTGTATTGATCATAACCTTCATCAGCTAATCATGTTTAAATTACAGAGGAATATCGCAGCACTCTGTCATCTCAAAACCATCGGCATATTGATCTGGGGTCTTTGAAGACATACATTAGAACATTTTAAAAGTCATGATGGGAATTCAAAAATAAAATCTAAGCTGAGATCTGAGCACGGGAAAAGCAGCTGTCTGGTATGGAGACAGAAATTCCAGACCAGAAATAAAGGGATTTAAAACTAGGATTGTTTACGCGACTGATAATTTACTTCTTTCTGGGGAGGGGGCGGGGAGACAGCAAAAAGGCGTTCTCCCTCATCACCCTTGATCATCACCCTGATCATCACCCCTGCTGCATTTCATTTCACGCCCAGGCTCAGAGCTAGCAAGCAGCCAACGAGCGCGCTGCCTTTAATCTGTAAATGCACAGAAAATATATAAATGACAGGGGGGCACAGGTCGAGGAAGCCGGAGGAGCTCCGTAAATATCATAGATAAACCTGTTTTCTAAGCTAAGGAGCGAGCTGAGAAACGTTCTAAGACATATCCAATGTGTTATTAAAAATCTCATTTTATGAACCCCAAATGCAAGGGAACACTCCCAGCCTTCCTATTTGGAGGCTAGAGAGACAGAGTCCATGGGCAAAGACAAGAATTTTTTCTAAATTATGATTTGGGTGAAGTTTACAAAGCACATTAGTTTTCCATTGAGCAATGCACACATTTTGTTTTGTGACGTTAGTTGCAACCCTCATGATGTAACAGCACTCTTCCCGCTTCCTGCCTGGGTTCCCCACTTCCATTCATCCTTGGTTCTTCTTTCCTGCCCCTTCCTGCCTTCTAAGCTTTGCTTTTGGGCAAATGCGGCCCTTCTGGTGTTACATAGTGGACTGTTCTGAGGAGTACTTCCCTTGTGGGTGTCACTGTTCACTTTAGAGGCCGGTCTACTGCTTGGCTGAAAGTTGATCCCCGGGGGGTGGGCTCATTTCCAGGTGTGACGGGTGTCTAAGGGCCACAGTCTCAGGGGTTCCACTCATCTCTCCGACCAGTAAGGATGAAAGAGAAGATATGACCCTAAAGCCTCAAGGTCAACTGCACAGCAGACTTGAACAAAATCTAAAGCCACAAGACAAATACTCACTACATCTGTCCACTTAGCTCTTGCTCTACCCTAGCAACTATAAAGACGGACTCACTGTGTCTAGTAACTGCTAATATTTTTGTTCTCTACAGCTTCTATTCCCATTTGTCCCACTTCCCTATAATTTTTACATCTTTCTTGCCCCCATATACAAATGAGGGAAAGAAAATGATAAATATTTGACTTTTCAGTAGGATCATGCTCTTTACAGTATCAGCTTCTACCACTTGATGGGTGATGTTGTGTGGCATCTTCGCTCGCCTGGGATTCCCAGTGGTCTGGCAGACACGACACTGAACTGGGTGCTCCTCCACAAAGTGATGTCATCACCTTCCATTACATGATCCAATGTGAGCAGCCTATCAGTGGAAAGGGGAGTCTCCTTGGGGGTGTGGCCTGCCTCCAGTATATAAATGGATATTCTGGCAACCCGTGCTCTCTCTCCACCCTGCCCACTTGCATGTTTTCCATCACTAGACCTCTAGTTCCTGGGATGTGAGCCTGCAGAAGTCTCTGGCCTGCCGCCTGACCTACAGACCTAGGACTTGCCACTTTCATGACTGCATGAACCATTTCCTGGAAGTAAACCTCCCCCACACACACTGGTTTTGCTCCTCTGGAGAACCCAGACTAAGACAACTACTGTGGTAGTTAAATCTGTATGTCAACTTGGCCGGGTCTGGTTGAATAGCTGGGCACCTGGTGGTAGTTATTCCCCATGATGAGACTGGCAATCAACTTCATGGTGGGATCTACCACAAGCAGCTGAGTAGCTGCCTTTGGGATGTGGTCTGCTTCCTGTATATAAGTAGAGGCCTTGGGGATAGTCTCCAGCTTATGGCACACTTGAACCCTGCATGTAACCATGTTGTTGTTCAGCAACCTGCCATGCTCTGCCGACCTTGGGACTTTCAATGCACATAATGGCCTGCCATGTGGTTTGGTAACCTTGGGACTGTGCCTTTTTACTTGTCAACCTTGGGTTTGTCAGCCTCAGTAGCCAGCAGCTGTGTGAGTGAAGAAAAGCCTCTAGAGCTTCAATGGGCCAGGAGCAGGAGGAAGAGCTGGACCCTAAGGTGGAGGACCTTTCACCCAGCCCCTAGAGCCTGGCACTTTGAACTTGGACTTAAAGCCTCCAAACTGTAAGAGAATAAACTCCTGTTTGTTAAGGCCATCCCATTTGTGGTATATTCCTGTCAGAGCGGCACTAGGTAACCAGAACAACTACAAATGCACTACCACATCAGCATCACAATTTCCTCTGGAGAAAGCAGGGCCATCAGATGAGCAGTCCCTGGCTGATGACGCAAGTGGGGCAAGTGGGTCAGTCCGCTGTGGATGAGATTCAAGTGGGGATCTGGGGTGAACCAGGTGAGTTTGAGGAAGAGACCTCATTTCCCACGACTAGAAAAAGCTGCTGCAGGCTGAGGCCAATAACTAGAGAGATGGGACAACTCTGAGTATACAACATTAGACAGGAATTAGGTCCACACAATAAATCCCGAAAATAGTATTTCAATTACTTACAATAGACATACTTGTAAAAGTCACCTGACATGAGCTCCAACACTGACTTAATCCACACCACACAAATGTTTGAAATGCACAGGTTACGGAGCAGACAGGGTCATGGCATGTTTTATCTTCAGTGCTACCACCAGAAGGTCATGTTTGCTGAATGGCATTGGAAAGGCTCCTCCATGAGGACGTGGGGGTTTAACCCAGAGAACCCCATCTGTAACAAAGCTAGCTGAGACTGTAAATCTCCTGGTAACAAATAAAAGATCCTCTAATGTCTCCGCTCAGTTTTAAATTACAGTATAATGATCATTAAGCCATCTTATTAATTAAGAATAAATTAATTACCAAATTATCTGTGAAGCTCTGAATTTGTGACTTAGACAGGAAGGGAAAGAAATCTGAAGTGGACTTTTCGTCAGCACAGAAACCTCAAGGTGAACGAGTGTTACGGTCAGGTGCTTGTTTTCACAGTCACTCGCTTTGAGCAGAGGACATGGTGCCAGGAAAGCTGAGTGAAATGACAGAAAGAGCCGATGGGGGGGGGGTGCACACACTCCACAAAGTCTCTCAGGTAACTCAACTACAGTGATGGTTTAATGACAAGCAGTGCCGCACAGGACCCCACCGCCTGGCACCACCACACCTGGGGGAGCCCTCACATCGTGCTGCAAACTGGAAGATGGAGCTGGCTCTTGGTCTAAGGAAATGGTCCAACCCCATGGACCCATAAAATACTCTGGAAGTGAGAGATACTGACCTTTATTCATCTTCCATGGCCAGCAGGTGACTGACACTTAACAGGAGTTCACCAACTGT